TGTAACGGTCTAACTTAGATTGATGTAACGGTCTAACTTAGATTGATGTAACGGTCTAACTTAAATCGATGTAACGGTCTAACTTAGATCGAGGTAACGGTCTAACTTAGATCGATGTAACGGTCTAACTTAGATTGATGTAACGGTCTAACTTAGATTGATGTAACGGTCTAACTTTGATTGATGTAACGGTCTAACTTAGATTGATGTAACGGTCTAACTTAGATCGATGTAACGGTCTAACTTAGATTTATGTAACGGTCTAACTTAGATTGGTGTTACAGTCTAACTTAGATTGATGTAACGGTCTAACTTAGATTGAGGGACTGTACCTCATTCCACTTAATTGTGCAATCGAAGACATATATTTTAAAAATCACCTCAGAACAATTTCTGAAAACAATCCGTTATAAAATTATGTTGTCTATATCTGTATACTTCCTGAAAAAATATTGAATAGCATTTCTAGGAAAATTTAACTGATCAGAAGCTGTTTGATACAAAACCTGTACATTTGGAAAGTTTATTTATATTTTTTGTTTTATTTCGTGATTAAAATCAAAATCAAATTACAAAGGCGAATCTTGCTGATCTAGCTCGCAACCCTGACCCCTATGTCTAGCTCATTAGTGTAGGCTTTGATCTAGCTCGCAACCCTGACCCCTATGTCTAGCTCATTAGTGTAGGCCTTGATCTAGACGAGACAATTTGAACAACAACCTACCATGGGACCTCGACTGAGGACACCACTAAACCATCTATTCTTCTGATGCAACAAACTGGTCTTGTGTAGCTTACATCAACCAAAAACATAGGAGTGTTTTATGGTACCGATATTCTTACCGGAATGAGCAGTGGAAATACTATATTACGTACCTGTTTATTTACACATTAAGTGTATAAAAAGAGGATGGCTCTATAGTTGTTCATTTGATGATAAACAGTGGTATAGCTATATTTGACATCCGTAAGTGTATGCGTATCTAACATGTATGATTTAAACAAACATAGCATTTTTAAGTATAGGATGCCGCTGCATGATACAAAATTGATAAACGATTGTTTTTGTGTCTTGCCTAAAAATAGGAAAAATCACTTTGACAAGAAAAAACAAAATCAAAGCAAAAGTGTGATTTTATTTTCTTGGTTATTCATGCTCTTAACTTGGTTTCAAGAAAATGTCATTTTCATACTTAATATGTGTTGTTTTTTTTTATAAATATGCGTCATTATTTGGCGGGGAAAACTCGAAGAAGCAATCTCCGGATGTCTAGATTATAAAACAGCATTCCCGTGGACCCCGCCGGCGGCCAGTACTCGTATTTTTGGAGTTCGAGCAACGTTTTTGATATTGTTTGAAAGATACCTCAAGAGTGATCAATAACCTCTATGAATTCTGTATATTTAAAGATTGATCAATAACCTCTATGGATTCTGTATATTTAAAGGTTGATCAATAACCTCTATGGATTCTGTATATTTAAAGATTTATGTTTGTGCCACGTTTGCCAATTGTTTGTGAAATCATACAAATGTAAAAAAAAAAATACACCAGATTTTCTTTTTTAAGAGATCGACCATGGAAACAAAACTTTCCGGCAAATGTCTTGGGAACCAATAGCCACGCGAAATGTGAGGAGCAGAAACGTCAAAGCAATAGCCACGCGAAATGTGAGGAGCAGAAACGTCAAACCAATAGCCACGCGAAATGTAAGGAGCAGAAACGTCAAACTTTACGCAGGTATAAGGAACATGTCGACGTCAGATGCATAAAATGTTACATTACTGTCTCGTTACAAATCAAAAACAAAGCTTAAGGTAAATTAAATACGAGCTAATATGTATATGATAAGAAAGTACCAAAATGAGATCTTGAGATAAAAGACAATGTCAGTGGTACCTGACTAGATGATTGGCGCTATTGGCGCTCGCAACATGCACCGTCGGCGCGCGTATTCGATCTTCGGCTACGAAATAAGTATCCATGCTTCCTTCAAAATTCTGGGTTCACTGAGTATTGGTAAATTATTGTTTTAAAAACCAAGAGCAACATTCACTATTAGCTAACGCAAGTGACTTCTTTGACAAAGCTATAGAATGGTCCAATTTTTCATTTCTCTAATTCAAAGTAAAATCACATTAACACATTGTTGTATTTGGAGTGTGTCAATTCCCGATAGAGCCATATAGAACTAGCGTATTGGTAAACAGTCGTCCTGACACTGTTAAATAGACCTCCGGTTATACATTGTAATGTGTTACCGGTCGTCCGTAGTGTCCCTCGGGTCGTAACACGTAGCAAACACCAGGGCCTCTGCTGTTTATGTTGATCAACAGTGTTGAACTTGTCATCGATGACGTTTTAATGACTGGATGAGAATGACAACGACCAGAAGGAATCGCAACGTTTTACCGGTGAGGAACGAGGATACATGTAGAAGAAAGGCAGAAATAAAACGACCAGAAGGAATCGTAACGTTTTACCGGTGAGGAACCCTGTGGATACAAAGGAAGAAAGAAAACGACCAGAAGGAATCAGTTCGAGTACCGAATTAACTGCGACATGTAAACACCGTAGGTAGGGAAAGCCATGCTTTGGCTATCAAGAAAGGAAACATTCGCGATAGGAAAGTCGAAATCGTCCCGCATATCCTATAGTTTAGTAGTAAGCTACTGTTTGTCGGGTTGTAAGTTAAGATCAAGGAATACCGCTGAAGTAAAAGAGCCTTTGGTTTATAGTTTAGGAGTTAGCTGTCCCTGTTTGTCAGGTTGTAAGTTAAGATCAAGGAATACCGCTGAAGTAAAAGAGCCTTTGGTTTATGGTTTAGTAGTAAGCTGTCTCTGTTTGTCAGGTTGTAAGTTAAGATCAAGGAATACCGCTGAAGTAAAAGAGCCTTTGGTTTATAGTTTAGTAGTAAGCCGTCCCTGTTTGTCAGGTTGTAAGTTAAGATCAAGTAATACAGCTGAAGTAAAAGAGCCTTTGGTTTATAGTTTAGTAGTAAGCTGTCCCTGTTTGTCGGGTTGTCAGTTAAGATCAAGGAATACCGCTGAAGTAAAAGAGCCTTTGGTTTATAGTTTAGTAGTGAGTCGTCCCTGTTTGTCAGGTTGTAAGTAAAGATCGAGAAAAAATTCTTAAGTTGCAGAGTCTGTGGCATCCTTGATTTCAACCTCTAGAGGATATAAACGATAGATGTGGTCCATGAATTCCTTTCAATTCAAAGACAGCACATCGTCGATTAACATGAATGTTCCATTGAAGGATTTGGTTAGGTCTTAGTTTCCAATCCTAAGCTCATCAATCATATCAGTTTCGCTTAAAAACAGAAACAATTTGGCTAGAAGAGGGGCACGGTTTGTTTCCATGGGAATACCAACAGTGTACTGGACACTCTGGTCACATGGGAATACCAACAGTGTACTGGACACTCTTGTCCCATGGGAATACCAACAGTGTACTGGACAAGCTGGTCACATGGGAATACCAACAGTGTACTGGACAATCTGGTCACATGGGAATACCAACAGGGTACTGGACACTCTTGTCACATGGGAATACCAACAGTGTACTGGACACTCTTGTCACATGCATAGATATTGTCAACCAGGAATTCAATCGTTTCTTTTTTGCCTTTGGTGTACTTTTAACTTTTTTTAATGTTTTTACATTGTAAAACCAATCAAGCTTTACACTGTTATATAAGACAAGCAGAGAATACCAATGTTCAACGAAACCGTAATTGGAATTCAAAATCGTTAAAACTAGGGCAAAGTATGAACTAAGGAAACACTTACAACCTCGGACATTTCTTAAAATAATTTAGAAAATAATATGAATGAATTTCACGTTATGTTTTAAAGGTCAAATTGAGTTCGTGGCCAGCTGTTTCTTTGTTAAATAGTTTACCATATGCTTCGAGAAAGGTTACACAAAACTGTATTGTTCCTCTTAAGTTTTTACATGCATTTTGCTGCTTGAATTAATTGTTATTCTTTATTCGAGGGAAACCAATATATGTCTGTCTTACCGCACTTTCCCCTTGAATAAACTACAGTATATGTCGTGTATAACCTCCTGTCTACCTCCTCATACGATGTACTGACAACAACACAAATGCTATACTTTACTCACTTTCCCATTAAATACACAGTATGCATGCAAATTACGTTCCGTAGTGTGTCTACTTAGACAATATACAAACCATAGGTAATTTAGTAAACTTTATTTATTTTACAACAATTATGAAACAGGTTTATTAACTTTTATCAAGCAGTCTTGTTAAACCTGATATTAGAGAGTGGGGCTCTCAATAGGGAAGGAAACCTGATATTAGAGAGTGGGGCTCTCAATAGGGAAGGAAACCTGTGTGCCTTGAGAAAACCTCCATAGTCGGGTAGGTGACCCCATACCTTTTCACGTTCGGTGGGGAATCGAATACTCAACGTCTTGGCGAAATGCGAGAATGCTATCCACTAACCCCCGACCATCCCTTTTTCTGTTGCTTTCCTCTTCAAAAAGCTATATCTATTTCGCTCACCAAATATCGGTCGTGTGTGTACATTTGGCTATTTACCTTTTACCTTTTGTTTGTCACGTTCTTTACGGGATTGTGTTATCTCACTGCTGGTCTTTTAAATTTACCTGCATATATGTCTCGTGTTTTCATTTTCTTGTCAGGTATTTCATTTGCATGGTCCAAGTTCCTATTTATCATACTAATCTTTTGAGAGATTCATATTTATTTGTTTTTATCTTGCGTTTGTATCCGAGCCCCGTATTCCGTTGTTGTATCCCGTATTCCGTTGTTGTGCCCCGAATTCCGCTGCTGTGCCCCGTATTCCTCTGTTGTATCCCGTATTCCGTTGTTGTGCCCCGTATTCCGTTGTTGTGCCCCGTATTCCTCTGTTGTGCACCGTACTCCGTTGCTGTGCCCCGTATTCCATTGTTGTATCCCGTATTCCGTTGTTGTGCCCCGTATTCCGTTGTTGTATCCCGTATTCCGTTATTGTGCCCCGTATTCCTCTGCCTTGCCCCGAATTCCGCTCCTGTTCCCCGTATTCCGTTGTTGTATCCCGCATTCCGTTGTTGTGCCCCGTATTCCGTTGTGGTGCCCCGTATTCCGTTGTTGTATCCCGTATTCCGTTGTTGTGCCCCGTATTCCTCTGCTGTGCCCCGTATTCCGCTCCTGTGCCCCGTATTCCGTTGTTGTATCCCGTATTCCGTTGTTGTGCCCCGTATTCCGTTGTTGTGCCCCGTATTCCGTTGTTGTATCCCGTATTCCGTTGTTGTGTCCCGTATTCCGCCGTTGTTGTGCCCCGTATTCCGTTGTTGTGCCCCGTATTCCGTTGTTGTGCCCCGTATTCCGTTGTTGTGCCCCGTATTCCGTTGTTGTGCCCCGTATTCCGTTGTTGTTCATCGTATTCCGTTGTTGTATCCCGTATTCCGTTGTTGTATCCCGTATTCCGTTGTTGTGCCCCGTATTCCGTTGTTGTGCCCCGTATTCCGTTGTTGTACCCCGTATTCCGTTGTTGTATCCCGTATTCCGTTGTTGTATCCCGTATTCCGTTGTTGTGCCCCGTATTCCGTTGTTGTGCCCCGTATTCCGTTGTTGTTCATCGTATTCCGTTGTTGTATCCCGTATTCCGTTGTTGTATCCCGTATTCCGTTGTTGTGCCCCGTATTCCGTTGTTGTGCCCCGTATTCCGTTGTTGTTCATCGTATTCCGTTGTTGTATCCCGTATTCCGTTGTTGTATCCCGTATTCCTCTGTTGAATCCCGTATTCCGCTGCTGTGATCCGTATTCCGTTGTTGTTCATCGTATTCCGTTGTTGTATCCCGTATTCCTCCGTTGTTGTATCCCGTATTCCTCTGTTGAATCCCGTATTCCGCTGCTGTGCTCCGTATTCCGTTGTTGTTCATCGTATTCCGTTGTTGTATCCCGTTTTCCGTTGTTGTGCCCCGTATTCCGTTGTTGTGTCCCGTATTCCTCCGTTGTTGTGCCCCGTATTCCGTTGTTGTGTCCCGTATTCCTCCGTTGTTGTGCCCCGTATTCCGTTGTTGTTCCTCGTATTCCGTTGTTGTATCCCGTATTCCGCCGTTGTTGTATCCCGTATTCCTCTGTTGAATTCCGTATTCCGCTGCTGTGCTCCGTATTCCGTTGCTGTGCCCCGTATTTCGTTGTTGTTCCCCGTATTCCGCTGCTGTGCCCCGTATTCCGTTGCTGTTTCCCGTATTTCGTTGTTGTGCCCCGTATTCCGTTGCTGTGCCCCGTATTTCGATGTTGTGCCCCGTATTCCGCTGCTGTGCCCCGTATTCCGCTGCTGTGCCCCGTATTCCGTTGTTTTGCCCCGTATTCCGCTGCTGTGCCCCGTATTCCGTTGTTTTGCCCCGTATTCCGCTGCTGTGCCCCGTATTCCGTTGTTGTATCCTGTATTCCGTTGTTGTGTCCCATATTCCTCTGTTGTGCCCCTTATTCCGATGCTGTGCCCCGTATTCCGGTGTTGTATCCCGTATTCCGTTGTTGTATCCCGGATTCCTCTGTTGAATCCCGTATTCCGCTGCTGTGCTCCGGATTCCGTTGTTGTTCATCGTATTCCGTTGTTGTCTCCCGTCTTCCGTTGTTGTATCCCGTATTCCGTTGTTGTGCGCCGTATTCCGCTGCTGTGTCCCGTATTCCTCTGTTGTGCGACGTATTCCGATGCTGTGTCCCGTATTCCGTTGTTGTTTCCCGTATTCCGCTGCTGTGCCCCGTATTCTGTTGTTTTGTCCCGCATTCCGTTGCTGTGCCCCGTATTTCGTTGTTGTGCCCCGTATTCCTCTGCTGTGCCCCGTATTCCGCTCCTGTGCCCCGTATTCCGTTGTTGTATCCCGTATTCCTCCGTTGTTGTATCCCGTATTCCGTTGTTGTGCGCCATATTCCGCTGCTGTGCCCCGTATTCTGTTGTTTTGTCCCGCATTCCGTTGCTGTGCCCCGTATTTCGTTGTTGTGCCCCGTATTCCGCTGCTGTGTCCCGTATTCCGTTGTTGTTTCCCGTATTCCGTTGTTGTGCCCCGTATTCCGTTGGTGTGCCCCGTATTCCGCTGCTGTGCCCCGTATTCTGTTGTTGTGCCCCGTATTCCGCTGCTGTGCCCCGTATTCTGTTGTTTTGCCCCGCATTCCGTTGCTGTGCCCCGTATTTCGTTGTTGTGCCCCGTATTCCGCTGCTGTGCCCCGTATTCCGTTGCTGTTTCCCGTATTCCGCTGTTGTATCCCGTATTCCGCTGCTGTGCCCCGTATTCCTCTGTTGTGCCCCGTATTCCGCTGCTTTGCCCCGTATTCCGTTGTTGTGCCCCGTATTCCTCTGTTGTGCCCCGTATTCCGTTGTTGTGTCCCGTATTCCTCCGTTGTTGTGCCCCGTATTCCGTTGTTGTGTCCCGTATTCATCCGTTGTTGTGCTCCGTATTCCGTTGTTTTGTTCCGTATTATATTTTGGCCTGTCTTTGTTTCTATTTATACATGTACTATATATAATATTAATATGTTATATAAATATATTATGTGGCAGCCTTTCCTTTCCGTGGCCCGCCTCTAGTATATATATGTGCTTATTGATCTAACAGGCATGTACCACTTTTTTATAGGGGTTTCGCTGTGTTCGCAAGCCACACGAGGTCCTAGTTACATTTATAACGATGTAACATGGTAGGTATCACTGTCTGTACTCGCCTCAAGATACGGCATCTCCGATCTCGCCAGGATACTGTCGGTACAAATACTGTCGGTACAGCTTCACAACCCCCGACCTCGTCAGGATACTGTCGGTAAAGCTCCACAACCTCCGATCTCCTCAGGATACTGTCGGTACAGCTTCACAACCCCGACCTCGCCAGGATAGTGTCGGTACAGCTTCACAACCCCGACCTCGTCAGGATACTGTCGGTACAGCCTCACAACATCCACATCCCGTCAGGATACTGTCGGTACAGCCTCACAACCCCCGACCTCGTCAGGATACTGTCGGTAAAGCTCCACAACCTCCGACCTCCTCAGGATACTGTCGGTACAGCTTCACAACACCGACCTCGCCAGGATAGTGTCGGTACAGCTCCACAACCCCGACCTCGTCAGGATACTGTCGGTCCAGCTTCACAACCCCCGACCTCGTCAGGATACTGTGGGTACAGCTTCACAACCCCGACCTCGTCAGGATAGTGTCGGTACAGCTCCACACCACCCTATGCCGTCAGGATACTGTCGGTACAGCCTCACAACATCCACATCCCGTCAGGATACTGTCGGTACAGCCTCACAACACCCCCATCCCGTCAGGATATTGTCGGTACAGCTCCACAACATCCGCATCACGTCAAGATAATGTAGGTACAGCTTCACAACACCCTCATCCCGTCAGGATACTGTCGGTACAGCTTCACAACATCCCTATACCGTCAGAACACTATCAGTACAGCTCCACAACACCCCCATCCCGTTAGGATACTGTCGGTACAGCTGTATAACACATCCCATCCCGTCAGGATAGTGTCGGTACAGCTCCACAACACCCCCATCGCGTCAGGATACTGTCGATACAGCTCCACAACATCCGCAACCCGTCGGAATACTGACGGTTCAGGTTCACAATACCCGAAACCCGTCAGGATACTGTCGGTACAGCTCCACAACACCCCCATCCCGTCAGGATACTGTACGTACAGCTTCACAACCCCCATCCTGTCAAGATACTGTCGGTACAGCTTCACAACACCACCATCCCGTCAGGATACTGTCAGTACAGCTCCACAATACCCCCATCCCGTCAGGATACTGTCGGTACAGCTCCACAACACCCCAATCCGTCAGGATATTGTCAGTTCAGCTCCATACCACCCTATGCCGTCAGGAAACTGTCGGTACAGCCTCACAACATCCACATCCCGTCAGGATACTGACAGTACAGCTTCACAACCCCCGACCTCGTCAGGATACTGTCGGTACACAGCTTCACAACCCCCGACCTCGTCAGGATACTGTCGGTACAGCTCCACAATACCCCCATCCTCTCAGGATACTGTCGGTACAGCTCCACAACATCCGCATCACGTCAAGATAATGTAGGTACAGCTTCACAACACCCCCATCCCGTCAGGATACTGTCGGTACAGCTCCACAACAGCCGCATCACGTCAAGATAATGTAGGTACAGCTTCACAACCCCCCCATCCCGTCAGGATACTGTCGGTCCAGCTTCACAACACCCCCATCCCGTCAGGATACTGTCGGTACAGCTTCACAACATCCCCATCACGTCAGAACACTATCAGTACAGCTCCACAACATCCCCATCCCGTCAGGATAGTGTCGATACAGCTCCACACCACCCCATCCCGTCAGTATACTGTCGGTACAGCTTCACAACATCCCCATCCCGTCAGGATAGTGTCGGTACAGCTCCACAACACCCCATCCCGTCAGTATACTGTCGGTACAGCCTCACAACATCCACATCCCGTCAGGATAGTGTCGGTACAGCTTCACAACACCCCCGTCGCGCCAGGATACTGTCGATACAGCTCCACAACACCCCATCCTGTCAAGATACTGTCGGTACAGCTCCATAACACCCCCATCCCGTCAGGATACTGTAGGTAAAGCTCCGTAACAACCCAAACAAGCCAGGATACTGTCGGTACAGCTTCATAACCCCCATCCCGGCAGGATACTGTCGGTAAGCTTCACCAAAGTATACTGTCGGTACAGCTTCACAACATCCCCATCCCGTCAGGATAGTGTCGGTACAGCTCCACAACATACAGGTTCACAATACCCGAAACCCGTCAGAATACTGTCAGTACAACTCCACAACACCCCCATCCCGTCAGGATACTGTCGGTACAGCTCCACGCCACCCCAACCCGTCAGTATACTGTCGGTACAGCTCCACAACATCCGCAACCCGTCGGAATACTGACGGTACAGGTTCACAATACCCGAAACCCGTCAGAATACTGTCAGTACAACTCCACAACACCCCCATCCCGTCAGGATACTGTCGGTACAGCTTCACAACACCCCCATCCCGTCAGGATACTGTCGGTACAGCTCAACAACATCCGCATCCCGTCAAGATAATGTAGGTACAGCTTCACAACACCCCCATCCCGTCAGGATACTGTCGGTACAGCTTCACAACACCCCCATCCCGTCAGATTACTGTCTGAACAGCTTCACAACACCCCCATCCCGACAGGATATTGTCGGTACAGCTCCACAACATCCCCTCCTGTCAAGATACTGTCGGTACAGCTTCACAACCCCCCCACCCCGTCAGGATACTGTCGGTACAGCTCTACAACAACCCCATCCCAACATCCGCATCCCGTCAAGATAATGTCGGTACAGCTTCACAACACCCCATTCCCGTCAGAGCACTATCAGTACAGCTCCACAACACCCCCATCCCGTCAGGATACTGTAGGTAAAGCTCCTTAACAACCCAAACCCGCCAGGATACTGTCGGTACAGCTTCATAACCCCCATCCCGTCAGGATACTTCGGGTACAGCTTCATAACACCCCCATCCCGTCAGGATACTGTAGGTACAGCTTTACAACACCCCCATCCCGTCAGGATACTGTCGGTACAGCTTCACAACACCCCATTCCCGTCAGAGCACTATCAGTACAGCTCCACAACACCCCCATCCCGTCAGGATACTGTCGGTATAGCTCCACACCACCCCATCCCATCAGGATACTGTCGGTACAGCTGTATAACACATCCCATCCCGTCAGGATAGTGTCGGTACAGCTTCACAACACCCCCATTACGTCAGGATATTGTCGATACAGCTCCACAACATTCGCAACCCGTCGGAATACTGACGGTAACGGTTCATAGTACCCGAAACCCGTCAGGATACTGTCGGTACATCTCCACAACACCCCCATCCCGTCAGGATACTGTAAGTACAGTTTCACAACACCCCATCCTGTCAAGATACTGTCGGTACAGCTTCACAACACCCCCATCCCGTCAGGATACTGTCAGTACAGCTCCACAACACCCCCATCCCGTCAGGATACTGTAGGCGAAGCTCCGTAACAACCCCAACCCGCCAGGATACTGTCGGTACAGCTTCATAACCCCCATCCCGTCAGGATACTTAGGGTACAGCTTCATAACACCCCAAACCCGTCAGGATATTGACGGTAAAGCTCCGAAACACCCCCATCCCGTGTGGATACTGTAGATACAGCTCCACAACACACCAACCCCATCAGGATACTGACGGTACAGCTTCGCAACCCTCGATCTCGTCAGGATACTGTCGGTACAGCCTCATTACCCCTAACCCGTCAGGATACTGATGGTACATCTCCACAACACCCCAATCCCGTCCGGATACTGTCGGAGCAGCTCGACAACACCCCCATCCCATCAGGCGACTGTCGGTACAGCTCCATAACACCCACCACATCCCGTAAGGATACTGACGGTACAGCTCCATAACACCACCATCACGTCAGGATACTGTCGGAACAGCTCCACAACACCCCATCCAATCGGGACACTGTCGGTACAGCTCCACAACACCCCCCTCCCGTCAGGA